TTCCCTTAAGAAATGGGTTTTCCTTCTCCTCCTGCCCAGGAAGTCCCAAGAAGCAAACCCCTTGGCTATGTCTACACTGGCGCGATCTTGCGCCAGAGATATGCAAATGAGGCTAAGCATGGAATATCACTGAGCCTCATTTGCATATCTAATGAGCCGCCATTTTTGCAGAAGAGGCTCTTGCTCCAGAAGAAGCTGTCTACACTGCCCCTTCTTGCTCAAGAAAAACCCTCTTGCGCAATGCCGCTACGCTGATTAATTTCAGGAATAACGGCATTGCGCAAGAGGGTTTTTCTTGCGCAAGAAGAGGCAGTGTAGACAGCTCCTTCTGGCGCAAGAGCTTCTTCTGCAAAAATGGCGGGGCCCTAGGTATGCAAATGAGGCTCAGCAATATTCCACACTTAATCTCATTTGCATATTCCTCACACAAGAATCCGCGAGTATAGACAGAGCCTAACTTGGGCTGCGTCTAGACTGGCAAGTTTTTCCGCAAAAGCAGCTGCTTTTGTGGAAAAACTTGTCAGCTGTCTACACTGGCCTCTTGAACTTCCGCAAGAACACTGACGATCTCATGTAAGATTGTCAATGTTCTTGCGCAAATTCTATGCTGCTCCCGTTCGGGCAAAAGCCCTTTTGTGCAAATGCTTTTGTGCAAGAGGGCCAGTGTAGACAACGCGGTATTGTTTTGTGCAAAAAAGCCCCGATGGCAAAAATGGCGAACGGGGCTTTCTTGCACAAAACCGCATCTATATTGGCACAGACGCTTTTCTGCAAAAAGTGCTTTTGCGGAAAATCGTCCGTGCCAATCTAGACCCTCTTTTCTGCAAATGCTTTTAACGGAAAACTTTTCCATTAAAAGCATTTGCGGAAAATCATGCCAGTCTAGACGCAGCCACTTGTGTTTCACAGGGGATGGCTGATTGGAGGCTAGTTTATGATGGTGGTTTTCCTTTCCTCTACCCCAGGATCTATCTCCTGACAGAAAGCAGGGGCTGAGTTTGCCACTCCAGCTATGTCGTGGGCCAGGGGAGCAGGTAGACAGCACATTAGCAGACACCAGCATCCACCCTGTTCCCCCCATTTCCCGCCTTGCTCCCCCCATTTCCCACCTTGCACACTCTGCTCTTCCCCTTCTGGGCACGAAAGGCCCAGTCCAGCCTCAGCTCACTCCCGGTCCAAGGACGCACACTGTGCAGGCAGCAAGAGGGGCTGTTAAGGCCAGTGACTGGTTCCCCCCGGGGTAGCTTTGGGGTAAAGAGTCTCTCCAGAAGCCTGGCAGAAGAGGGATGGCGAGGAGGGAGTGGGGTTCATCTCACACCCACACACAGGCCAACTAACAGAAGTCTGATAGAGGGGCAAAAATAAAATCAGCTGTGAAGCTGAATAGGTGGGCAAGTGTTAGAGAAGCGATGGGTAGACCAATCCCTCCTTTGCAGCGATTAAGTATAATCCAAATGCAATGACTGATGCTGAGAAAACCACGTTTGTAGCACCATCAGTATTCCCTGTACATTTTTCCAGACGTGTGGCCAACTAACAGAAGTCTGATAGAGGGGCAAAAATAAAATCAGCTGTGAAGCTGAATAGGTGGGCAAGTGTTAGAGAAGCGATGGGTAGACCAATCCCTCCTTTGCAGCGATTAAGTATAATCCAAATGCAATGACTGATGCTGAGAAAACCACGTTTGTAGCACCATCAGTATTCCCTGTACATTTTTCCAGACGTGTGGAATAAATTTTGTTATGTGCACTGAGGCATGTGCACCACCAGGGGAACCACAGGCTGCTGGCTGTGGGTGCTCTGCTAATCAGCTGGGCGGCATCTCACTCTCTTGGGTGGCTGCCCAAGCCCCCATCTTACAGAGAGCACAGACTATTACCTGCATTTCCCAGTCCCGTAACAGGAAGTGCTTGATTTCTGTTCCTCCTGCCTCTTTGCCTTAGCCCTCCCCTCTGTTGGAATTTCGGAGTCTGGCTTATATTGGATCACGAGCCCTTCAGCACAGGGATGGTGCTTTTGGGATGTATGTCCAGCATCACTCACAATGGGACCAATAATGGTCAGCGGATTTACTTTGCCTTCCGCCCTCTGCTCTACAAAGGGCGTTCTGCGCTTTCCTTCCCTGAGCCTGGCTTAAATCAACCCAAGGCAGCAGGGGAAAAAACCACGCCACATGCAGCAGATGGTATAGCAGGGCTGGGCAGAGGGGAAGTTTTAATTCCCGCTGATACTGGAATCAAACCCAGCATCTTTCACACAAGGCAAAGGACCACGTGCATTAGGAGTGACATCAACCCGGCGGCCCTGCTATAAATAAAAGGCTTATGAAAGGGGGGGCTTTTTTAAAAAACGGCACCCAGAGAATATCCATAAAAAGAAACCAGTGCCACCTGTTTTGGCTTGAGATGGAATATTACATCACATGGTCCATGTGCTTAGCACCGTGGCTCGGTCACGTTAGACATTTGTGCACCTAAAATCTGCCCCGTCTTCCCAGAGTATTAATGATCAGATCATTTCAGAGCTTGCCCATGGGGGACAGGGCATGGAAAATGCCAGACCCACATCACTGTACATCCTAGCAAATGCCTCTCTCATACTAGAACCACGCCCCCCACTCCTCCAGGACCCGGCCAACTCGTTGGCTCAATCAGCTTGTTATTTTTGGCCACAGCTGGGTCTGCATCACATAAAAATAGCTGGTGTTTGAGCTTGGGCCCATTAGTGATGGGAGTTCAGGTTTATTGCTGGCCACATGCACTGCCTTGAGAGCATGGGAGAGCTTCTGTAAATATTTCTAGAATGAAAGATAACCTGGTTTATGCATGGTAGCACACGGGCCCCACCGGAGTAATTCAAAACCGCTTATTTTTCCATAAGTGTTGCATGTATTGCCCATCTGCCTCAAACATATGTATTTATATGATCAGAAACACACATCCTGTTCTGATTAGATCTTGAACCTTCTTGTGTAGAAAGCCCTCTTCTCATTATTACCAGGGAAAGGCACTCATTTATCCTGGAAATCTTTTCACAGCTCAGTGGAATATTTATATCAATTTCACCTCCAAAAGGGACATTACAAATTAAGATGCAAAAATCAAGCGCTATATTTTAATATTTCCTAAATCTGGCCCCTGGAACTAGGGATGTGGCGAATTCTTTATTACCTCAAGTCTGAACGAAGATTGAGTGCCCGTCTAAAAATCTACTACATATTTGAGAGAGTTTGTGTGCCTGTGTTTCTTCAAGAACTCTTCCTAAACAGCAAAAGCTAGGACCGTCACATTCGGTCACACCTGTGGAATACTAATCCGTGCCCCACGTCACCAAGTCCCAAGCCATCCCGCCTGCCAGATGGCATGATTAAACCCCGCCTTGAAGCTCTGAAGAAGGAATAAAAGAGCCGCCATGTAGCAGGACACTAGTCATAATACTCTTCCTTTCCTAGTGCAAACTGATGGTTCTTACCAGCGTCTTAATTATTTAGTCTTGGAAGTGCCACTAGACTATTTGTTGTTTTTTAAGTTTTGCCTGTTACAGACTAACTCGGCTACCCCTCTGAAACTAGTCATCACGTTTGGCTTTATAGAGTCCAGTTAAGATTCAGGTTTTTTGCAGGGAGAGACGATTTCCAAGTATTCTCTGTCAGAGAAAGCTGCACAAGTCTCTTGGGTCAGATGGAGAGATTCAGGGACAAGGGGCGCTTGACTACAGAACCATCCGAACCATACACAGCACCTGCACATCACTTTGCATCCTGGGGAGCACTTTGGCTCTGCAGTTTGTACAGGGGTGTGGCATTAGGATTCTGAAACAGAGTCAGCCCAAAGGGCTGGGAACACCGCCCCAGTGCCTAGACAGAACAGGGCAATTATCAGAAAAAACTGTAATGCTGTTGCCAGTTACCTCCTACCGGGTGTTCCCAAGGAGTGTAAATCCTGACTCAACAGTGCATCCCAGAGGATGCCTCTTGTCCGTGGCTCCACCTCCAAGAGCACCAGGGGCTGTCGCCAGACCCGACGCAGAGGAATCAGCAACTAAAACTCTCCTTGTGCTTTCGCGGGGAAAGCCTGGTCCTGGAAGGTGGAATAACTAGCCCAGAGGGCCCGGAGAGAAAGCAGCACCGCCCAGGTGTCTTGCTCTGTCTCCAAAGCAGCTGGCTCCTTCTCCCCTGCTGTAGCCCTGGGTCCGCTGTACAGACTGCCTGAGCGCCTTGCCTGATCTAGGCCAGTGGTTCCCACCGTGGGGCCCGCTGATCCGCGACGGTACAGGAGGGGCTCTGGCGAAAGTTTAAACTAGACGTAGGGAGCCTCTTGCAGCCAGCGCGTCCTTCGGCCCGCCCGTTGCTTCCCCAGCGGGCTGAGGGGCTTGGCTCGGGAGGCGGGACGTGCAGGCTGCAGGCACCGCTATTTTGGGGGGGGGGGGGTGAAGTTGTAATAGATTGAAAAGGGGCCCGGACGCTGGACAAGGCTGGGAGCCAGCGGGTTAGGCTGGACAGGGAGGAGCTAGGGAGCCCGGCAGCTTGTCGCTGCAGGTAGGGAAAAGCGGCCGATGCCCTCAGCTGGGTGCAGCCTGGGGGGCAAATCCCTGCCAAGCGGAGCAGGCTGGAGCTTTGCACCGGTTAGCCCAGGCCGGGTTCCAGAGCCCCAGGAGCTACCAGCCCGGCGCCCGTTTCCTCGCTGCCTTGGAGAGCTGCGGGGCGCACCCTGGCGACTGGGGGTTCCAGCCCCCGCACCATCTCCACCCTGCCCCACCCCCACCAGCCCTGGCGCGCTCTGCGGCTTGAGCCGCGTCCACACAGCCCGGCGGCAAGGCGGGGCCCGGGCTCCCCCTGCCTGAACACAGCGGAGCGGGCAGCGTCCCCCGGGACCCGGCCAGGCTCCCTCCCCCGCCTGCCCCAGGCAGCGCCAGCCCCAGAGCCGGGCGCCAGGAAAGCCCAACCCGCAGCCCGGCTCTCTGCAGGCGGGAGCCTCAGGCGCCCCCCGGACCCCCCCTACCTGGGGGCAGTGCGGAGCCCAGCTCGGAGGGCTCCTGCTCCGGCGCGGCGCCCAGCGCCAGGTAGCGCAGCAGCAGCAGCATCTTCAGCGCCCCGCCGCCCATGGCGCTGCCCGGAGCCAGCCGCGCAGCTCCCGGAGCGCCGGGGGGTAGCGCTCAGCCCCGCCGCGCCAGGCTCCCTGCCTGCCCGGCCAGCTGCGCCTGCTTCCAGCCCGCATCCACCGGGACAGGCGCAGCCCCCGGCCCCGCCCACCGCCGCTCGGGCTGCCTGGGGGGACGCTTCCCCTCCCTCCCCCCGGCCTGGGCTCGCAGCAGGGAAGGGGGCGCCGCTGGGCACTGCACGGGTTAAGGGGAACCCCGCCCCCTGCACGTTTAATGGATACTCCCCCCCTCCCGTGGTTTGGCTTCGCACAGGTTAATGGGGATCCCCTGCCCACCTGGGGTAATGGGCATCCCCTCCCCTTTCTGGCACTGCAGGGTTATTAGATACTGGCCTCATGGCTTGGCACTACTGCCCTGGTATTGCTTAGGTTAAGGGGGGGCTCCCTCCAAGAGTGCTGGACCCACTTGTACAGTGGGGCTGCTGAGTGTCACTGAACCAAAGGATAACCCCCTATGTAATGGAAACTGCTTCAAGCTATGGGGTGCTGCAGACTCCCCCCCCCCCCCCCCCATTTCTGGAACTGCCTGGGTCATTTCTCCCTCCTTCCCCCCAATCCCAATGCAACCCTAATCTCCTGTCAAGGTCTTTCCCCATTCAAAGAGCTCTGTGCGCTCCAAGCTTGTCCCTTCCACCAGCAGAAGTTGGCCCAATGCAAATTACTCCTTCCCCCACCTTGTCTCTAGCATGTTAAAAAGAGACAGAGTCCAGACTGGTTAACGGGACTCAACCTCCCTTTCCCAGAGTTTAGTACTCCATGGGCTAAAGGAACACCCAGCCACATGCATCATCCGCTCATGCCAGGAGCATGCCAAGCTGGGGAGGGGAGTGCCTAAAAGCTACACACCCATCACAGTGTGTTTATCCAGCTCTCTGAGATGCCACAGGCTCCTGGCTCCAGCCTGCTGAGCGGGTCTGGTTCCCCTGAGGTCCTGTTTTGGAGTCCCCAGGATTCAGCTGCTAAATCCCCAGGGAAAAGGGCCAGAGTCCTATGGCATTTTGCCTCTTGCTTCCCCTTGTCAAGGCAGTTCCTATTAGGCCCCCTGGGCTCTTGCCTGTTACTGCTTTGCCTTTTCCCCTACCGCCACAAACGGAGCATCAGAGCCCACTTCACTATTAACAGCCAGCCTTGTATCCAACACCAACCTTCGCCTGGTTACTTCCAGCTGTCTCAGGGCCACAGCTGTTGCACCATCTGAGCCATGTGGTGACAGCTTCCTGGAGTCTTTTGCTGTCACAGGGCACTTCTGCACTAGGCAAATAGGCATTTTTTACCTGTTAATTAAAATGTGTTAAAATCTTAGTGGGAACAGATCAAATTGTCATTTTAACAGGTGAAGCCTAGGTCACCCTCCTCCCCCCATGTGCATGAGTGATCACTAAACTCATCTTCTGAGCATAAACGGAGCCAGAACACGTTTAGAGACAGTTTCCTGAAGACAGAAGATTTTAAAAGAAAAAACCCACAAAGACCCTGGCAGGAGAAAGTCCTGCTTGGCAGATCGACAGACTAGTCCTCTGAATCACAGGCTACTCTTCTCATTTCTTTTTGACTCTACAGCTGCACAAAGACCGCAGGCACAACCAGGAGCACATTAGCATGGACTGAACCCTTGTGGTGCTTTTAACCACCTGGATTTCCCAGACTTGTTGTGTGGCTAGTGCCTGATCCAAAGCACCCCACTATCTTAGATCGAGCCCCAATCTAGGCCTGCATTCCCACTGCTAGTGGCACAGGCTGGATCTGGGCCAGAAGAGTAGGAAATTTTAGAGGAAGAGGCCTGTGTAGATAAGCAGCCTGATTTTCCACTGGGAAGTTACACCTGTGCAAAATGAGTGTCAAATGCTCTCAAGGTAGACTGGTAGCAAGTGAGGCCCATTTTGCTCAGGTGTTTGCAATGCCCCAGCCATGGAGAATCAGGGTTGAGTAGGTCTTGATTGAACCCTTGTTCAGGAACATTAAACCCTTAACCCAAGCATCTCCACCTGTTTGTTATGGGGCTGCAGGAACAATGGTTGTTACTCATTGTAGTTCAACAGGGTTTCCTAATACCTCAGGGCTATGTCTACACTGGCATGATTTTGTGCAAGAACTCTTCCAGAAGAGAGCGTCTACACTGGCATGTGCCTTTGCGCAAGAGATGTGCTTTTGCGCAAGAGCATCCACGCCAGTGTAGACGCTCTCTTGTGCAAGAAAGCTCTGATGGCCATTTTAACCATAGGGCTTTCTTGCGCAAGAAATTGATGTTGCCTGTCTACACTGGCCTCTTGCGCAAGAACAGTTGTACAAGAGGGCTTATTCCTGAGCGGGAGCATCATAGTTCTTGCGCAAGAAGCACTGATTTCATCCATTAGAACGTCAGTGTACTTGTGCAAGAACTCGCGGCCAGTGTAGACAGGAAGCAAGTTTTTGAGCAAAAGCAATTGCTTTTGCGCAAGATCGCGCCAATGTAGACACAGTGCCAGGATGCTTAACAACTTGCTGTCATCAACAATTTTCAACAGCAGGCAAGACAAACCCTGTTCTGCCTGAGCAGGAGGGACTAGATGGACCCCGAGGTTCTGTCTAGCCTTACATTTCTCTTAGGTCCCTGTTTACCCTTTCTAAGGTAGCATCCTGCTACCCCCTCAGCTGAGGGAATGAACTTCCAGAGACACAGAGGGGCCTGTCTGCTTTATAGAATGTGTAGAGTTCTGGATGCGGATTGTGGACATTTCCTTTGTCAGATGTCACGGAATCCTATTGATGTTCATGGTTGACATCTGTCCCAGAGGCCCCTCTGGAAAGCTCCTGTAGCATTCTCCCTCCCCCATGTCTCTCGTGTACCAGGTCTCTGATGGGAGACATCTGGCCAGCCTTTAGGGCAACTAGCTGAACCCTACTGTTCACATGCAAATTTCCCATCACCTGGTGAGTGGGAGGCTTTGTGTGAGAACCTGCAAGGCAGGCCTTTTCCATTCCTATTGCTGTACTTCGCCTGGTGAAACGAAAGCCTTTACTCCCCAGCTGTATTGCCCTTTCAAACAGTTATCCAAAATGGCAACTCCCTCCCCACACACAATGGCTAGTCCAGGGTCAGTTCCTAGTCCTGGGCGTTTGTGCAGCAGTGACTGGTCCGGGGCCATGGACTTTACTGAGTGCAGAGGGCACTACTAGAAACCCATCGCTAATTATAAACAGATGCAGGCAAAAGAATTGGGGGAGGAATATTTTCTGGCTCAGGACAATCATAGACATTTGAGCTGGGGGAGGAATGATTGTGGACTATAGACCACCCCAACTGCAGTAACAGGACTGAAGACGCTTCCCCCACTTGATGTGGAAAATTGCTGCAGTCAGCCTTCCCTGTTAGAAATCTGTCCCCTAGTTCGGCCTCTTTGCACAATCCTAGGCACCATCTCTACCTCCTTTGCATTTCATGCCCTACAAATATTTGGATTCCCTTCCAGGGCTCCCTCTACCATCCTTTTCCCCAAGCTACTTAAATCCTACCCCATAAATCAATCCCTCCAGGCCTTTAATCATTTTCTCATTCCTCTTCTCCAGATTTCCTCCAATTAATCAAAATGTTTCCTGTAGTGAGATACCGGGTATTGCCTGCAGATTCTAGGTGCAGTTTCACCAGTTCTAAGCCTATGAAGGTTAAGAGTCAGGAGTTAGGGAGGCCATGTGACCTCGCAGGGCTCAGAAGACCTGGGTTCTAGTCTTGGTTCTGCCACTCACCTGTTGCGTGAGCTTTCGTAAGTTGTGTCAGTTCTCTGTGCCTCAGTTTCCCCATCAGTAACAAGATAAGAATCTTGTACATTTTGAAATGTACAGTGCTGGATTAGCCACTAGACCATGCACAGGGGCCTCTTCCAAATGAGAGTCCCAGAAAAATGGGCATCCCACTCTGCTCTTACTGGGGAGCAAGGTTAGGGCGCTGGGGGGGGGGTCCCCACTTATCCTGGCCCAGGGCCCCACAAATCCACCCAAGTGCTATATAAGAAGGAGTTACTTAGGCAGTGGATCAAAGATAACCTATCAGTTTTTGGAATGCTCAACACGAATGAATTCCAGCAGCTCATTGGAATGCGTAAGTCATAGAGTCCTGGACTTGGATGCCTATAGAAATCTGTGGACACCTTATGGAAATGGGCATAACGTTGGGAACCAGCTGAATTATGGTGACTTTTCATTCTCCTGTGAACAAGAAATTCCAAATCACCTGGGTTTCTCCTTGGAACTCTTTGTTGAGTCTAGATCGCCCATTAAGGAAATGGGTTACAACGCAACCCGCGTTATGAATTCACCCAGGGTCACAAGCCATCGTTCCCTGCACAACAGATGCATGAATTACTACCAGCAAAGGAGTGGACTATACCCTGCTCCTTCCCTCCCCCTTTGATCCCTTGTGATGTAAGAAGTCCTGCAAGGATTAAAAAAAAACCAAGGGTGGGAGGTGCTTAGACATATTGCAACTGTCAAATTCAATCTCTGTTGGTGACGTGTCCAAGGGCGTGGTAAGAAAGTGGTGGTTGGTACAGGAATCTGAACTACAGTGGACCTTTGGTACTCAGGACATCTCCCACATGAACCCTAGGGAAGGCCATGGCTCCATCTAGAGGCCAGACTGTGGCTTGTAGGGCTACTGACCCCTGGACCTTGTCCCTTCATCCAGGCAGCAGTGCAGTGCACTTTTTAGAGCCAGAGATTGGAATCAATCCCTGTCACCAGCTCACTGAGTTGTCGCTGCACACAGAAAGTTGTACATGGCACAGCCAGGTGTGCATGCTCTGAACTCCCGGAACATTACACCAGGAATGAAGCCAATACTGTTCTGGGGGAACGTCTCTTAAGCCATAGGGCATACAGCTTTCTATAGCTTCCACTCGAGAGCTCTCTCCGGGAGGGATCTGATCTATGCTATCCGATGAGTCAGAAAGCCTGTTGAAATGTTCTGTGTGTGTGTTAAATCCTACCCCACATTTCCTTTAAAGCAGGAAGAGCCGGGAACACAGACTGACTTCTAGCTATTAGAATGAGCCAGGAGGTGGCTTCCCTT